GCCCTGCTGCCTTCCTGCAAGGTCCCTGCATGCCGTGGGGGGCCGAGGAGACAGCCCAGAGCCACAAGCACCAAACCGCTTTCCTGGGCTGTGCCCGGGGATACCTGTCTTTTGGAGATCTGTTTTCCAGCATACGTTATATACTCTTTCATAAAATACTTCTGGGCTGCCAGGTCCCGTTTCCTCCGTCTCACCAGCAGTGGTGGAGGCAGCTGGCTCCCACGCGCCCCCATGCCCCAGCACCCCCGCAGCAGCTACTTCCAAGCAGTTCAAGGGTTTCTTTCTCTCTTTAAAGGGTAAAATACCTTGAAGTGGTCGTTTCAAAACCGAAACAGCCTTACACTTTTGTTTCTAGCTAAACTTTTTGTTTCTAGCTTTTCATTGTTTTAAGGGGTTTGCCCCATCTGTTGTTGTTCTAAACGGGTTTGCCCCATCCATGAGTGCAGATGGTCCCCAAAGCTCTTACAATGACTTATGTAAGTGACTCCCACCATGGGACCGGTGCAAACAAGGGCTCCACAATAAGCATCCTTCTTAAAGTCCCTGTGAGTAAAGTCCCTCTCAGGCAGCAAAGAGGATGAATCCTTGTTTGTTTGTTTGTTTGCTTATGATTTTTTTTGTTTGAGTGCATGAGGCTGATTCACTGTGTTTTTTCCAGAATCAGTGGAGGAGTTGGAGAAAAACAAGCAAACTTGAAAAATCACCAGCTGTTAGCTAACCGGAGGATCATCCCTGCTGATAGGAGATAGGTCTGACATATCCTAGAGGATGCAGGATGATGTATGGGTGAGAAGCCCAAGTTCTTCCGTGGGGTTAGCACTGAAGAGAAGGTAGGTTTGAGGATTATTACCAAGTTTACCTCTCTGAAAGCTCCTTGGGGATCCAGATTCCTCCATTATGGGCTATCTGGAACCTTTAAGACACTGCTGTCCACTTGTCTCTGGAAAGAAAAAGAGATCTCTGACTTCTCTGTCTCCTTGGAAGAACATCTTTCCTGCTGCGAGAAGGGGCTTCGCTCTTGTTCCCACCCCACCTCCTAGGCGTCTCGATTGCTGTGGAAGAGAGCTCCCCATCTTCCCTGCCTCAGACTTTTCTGATTCGGTCTGCCTCCCCTTTTAACCAGTATCCTTAAGTTAGCAATCTCAATTAATGCAAATTATGAATCTTATTAAA